AGGTCCACCAGTGGTTCTACATATTGAGGATTCAGGTAACATCAGACCAAGTGATACAAAAGTAGGGAGTCATACATACACAGAGATAAGGAATAATAAAGAAAAACAATAACTATTAGAAGCTTAACACACTTTTTTTTTTTTTTTGTAACTGACTCCATTATACACCCTAATTTTGTTAGGTGACAGAGAACAGGGGATAGTCACGATTTGATTCTTTACCTTGGAAGGCTGTTTCCACCTTTGTAAAGGTGCTCTCCTCTTTACAGTACCACTTAGTGTCTAAGGACCGGAATTAGGAAATTGCATGATGGAAAAACAAACACTAACAAGTAGTACGCTACACCCTTTTTTCTCTACTAGTAGCTCTCAGAACAGGATTGCAAAACCTCATTAGGTTTGCAAAACACTGTAGGAAAAATAAACACATGCAGATTTATTTTACATTTCCTCACTATGTACTCTGGAAAGAAAATCTATTCTTTCTGAAATACAGAGGCAGTGTTGAAACACAAGGTTGTTCTCCTAACTGAAGAATAAACCTCAGGAAGATTTAGGTGAAATAGTGGCATACAATAAAAAAAAAAAATCCACCAGTGTCAGGGATTTTCCTGGAATATAGTACACACACACACACAAAAGGTCAAAAAGTAAAGCCTACTTTTCATTCAAGTTATCAATGAAATATGTACTTAATAAAAAACAACCTCAAACTAATAGTAGATGAGGAAAGGGAAAATAAAGGCAAGACATAATTCTTTTATTTTTAAAAATGTTTTGCCTATTACTTATTTGAGTAGAAGAAATGGAGTATAGGTGGGGGTGCGGGGAGTGAGAGGATTCACCAGAGACAAAACAAATGGATTTACTGAGATACACTGCTAAGGGGAGCAGCAGGTGAGAATCAGGAGAGGTCTGCTGTCCCATAGCAGTGCCAGCTCTGAGACTTAACCCCTAAGCCACTAGGGAGGCCTACTACTATTCTTTCTCTTGTGTTGCTTAAATCTTTTCATTAAGTAAAATGGATTTCAACATGTGTGAATCTGCAAAATCCCCAATTGAGCTTACCTGTAGTAAGTGCCTAATATTATTATGGGGATATCATAAAAGATCTTAATGTTTGAAGTTTTTCATCCCAGTGATGACAACTGTCATGCCATAATGGTATAGTTAATACATTATGAAATGACAATGTGAGTATGATTCCTGTGACTGTGAGTTGTGGATAAGCCATGAAGCTATTTGTATCTACCTTCGGGCTGACTCAGCAACTCCACAATATTTGGGAGTGTGCTGAGTCATCTGGTTTGATGAACCCATTTTAGGAATTCAGGCTTACTTTAAAATGTATGAATGCATTAACTTATTTTAATAATATTTACTAACTTCTTTCTGTAGGATGTTAATTTTTTTTGTATTTATACCGCGGAGACAAAATTTCTCATAATACACTCATGTATTAACATGGAAAAATGTGAACTAGATGACAATATGTAGATACACTCAATCTTGATTTTTGCCACTGCCCGACTGACTTCAGAACTACAGTGGGGGTTTGTGTAAAGTGCAACTTTTTACTTTGCTAGCTAATGTGAACCGATCCATATGTACTGATGGCAGGAAGTACGTATTTTCAGCCTGTATCTTCCTGGTTGCCAGAATCTACAATTCGTTTGCTCACTAAAGTGGGGCAGACACTGGGGGAACAGAAGAGTGAGCTGGTGACAGGAACTCCTCTGTGCATTATGTTCAGAAATTCAGGCAGACACATTTATTTCAAGAATCAATCGATCTGGTTGAAAGCAAGACCTCAATTTCTTGGTAGTGTTCCTTCTCTCAGCCCAGTTCATGTGCTGATGTCATCCCACTGCTTGCTCCTAATGTATAAAATAAACCTCTGCTGAAGGCAGAGCAGGAAGACTTGCACCCAACTCTGACTCCCGTATCTTCCTCGCTCCCCTTTCCCCTTTTTTCTCCCTTTCCCCCTTTTTTAGGAATCTCCACTCGCTGAGGCCTTCCCACCTTAGGGTCCTGCCTGTCTTGCCTCCAGACACCTCAATAGTTGGAGCTGGTCTCCAACAGTTCCTCAAAGTTCACATCATTTGATTCAGAATTACCTGGAATACTTATTAAAACATCAATTTTGTAGCTCAGTTTACAGCACTCAATCTTAGATTTGTAGTGGATTTGCTCCACTTAGGACTACACTTCTCAGGCTGAGTCTTTGAAATCTACGTCTTTCTAGATGACATCTATATCAGCATATTATATTGTTGGAAAAGTAATGATGTATTTTTTGTTTGGAAAAGAAAACACAGAAAAGATGTGTCATACTCTTAAGGATTGTGGCATTGGCAAAAGCAAGGAACAGACTAAGTTCTCTGTCAGGTTTCACAACTTTGGCACTACTGCATTTTGGGTTGTGTAATTTTCTGCTGTGGGGGCAGCCCTGTATATGCAGAAATTTAACAGCATCTTTAGCCTCTAACCATCTAGATATCAGGAGCAACTTCTCTCAGTTTTGACAACCAGACTATGCAATATGTCTCCTGAGAGGAGAAAAAATAACCGAGAATAGAATCACTGCTGTGGGGGATCACAGTAGCAAGCACATTTCCAATTTAAGGGTCAAAGAGAACATTGGAACTGCAGTGGCAAGTTAGAACTCCCCCCTACAGCAAAAGCTCCTTTGTAGGTTACCAGCATTTCAGCAACCTTGCTGTAGAGGGGCCATGTAACTTGACTTGCTGACAGTTGGAATATCAAGACTGAGAGCTAGACAGTGTCTGGCAGGTTAGGTCTCAATCCTGACTGTGCACTGGATTCATTGTGTAACTGTAGAAATACAAACATGTCAGTCAACCTCAGCCCTCCTGAGCTTCAGAATTTCCAGTGGCTAAGTCAAGACATCCAATCAATACAACCTTGATTCTGGAATACTCCGAGGGTTAGAGAATACCTGGAATACTGTTTTTAGGAACTCAAAATAGACAGGTGTGTTCAGGAATAAAATTGCCTTAGCCCAGAAAGACCTCAATAATGCTTAATGTTTGAGATTTTAATAGCTCTCATTCCAACTTACAAGAGAATGAAGTCATTACAATCATACCTACTGCAATTAAACTGTTTTAATTAGGGAACTTCCCCAATTTTACCCTCAATTTGTTTTGAGCCTGCTTGTTCTTTCATAATGTTTCAAGTTCTCATTCCACTGTCTAGTATCTAATTTTTCTCTTTCTAGTTCCCTTTTTCTAGTATTTATTATGATTATCTGTGACAGGCAATATTTAACAGACAGATTTAAAGCCTTGTTGATTGGATTGGGAGTTTCTAACTTCCCTTCAAAGGTATTAAGTATCTACTATATCAACTAAAGTAAGATTATAAGGCAATAAGGCAACAAGCTGTCCAAAAAACATGTTTCTTATCATGTTTTGATAGCAAACCCAGAAAAGAAAATATGCCTGGGGCACTTTAAGTATGTACTCTTAAGTTTCCTTTCTAGGTGAAAAACTGCATGCAGTTAACTATAAAGTACATCCATGGAGACTATTGCTTAATCTTGGTTAACTTGGTTAACCTTGGTTCAACAGTAATTCCCCAATAGCTCAGGAATACTTCAGACACTTCCACTACAGGGCAATTTTTCTCATGAACACATGCAAAAATCCTCAACAAAATAGTAAATTGAATTCAACAATACATTTAAAAGACCACACACCATGACCACATGTGATTTTTTTCCAGAGATGCAAGGATGGTTCAACACACACAAACCCATCAGTATGAGTAATGAAATCAACAAAATGAAGGATAAAAATCATATGATCATTTCAATAGATGCAGAAAAAGCATTGGATAAAATTCAGCATCTATTTATGGTAAAACTCTCAATAAAATGGGTATGGAAGGAAAATATGTAAAGGTAAGAAAGGCCATATATGCAAACCCATAGCCAGCATCATATTTAATGGGGCAGGATGCCCACTCTTACCACTGTTACATAACATAGTTTTGGATATGATGTCCAGAGAAGTTAGACAAGAAAGAAGTAACAAGTATCAAAATTGGGAAGGAAAAAGTAATGTTAAAACATGTTACCACATGCAGATGACTTCATAATATACATAAAAAGATATGTATACCAAAAAACTGTTGGGAATAAATGAATAAAAGTTGCAAAAAAAATTAATATGCAAAAAATCTGTTGTGTTTCTGCATGTCAACAATGAACTACAAGGAAATGATAAAAGCCATATTATTTAGTTGTAGCAAAGAATATAAAATACATAGAAGTAAATACAACCAAGGAAGTAAAGGACCCATATTCTAAACTACAAAATGCTGCTGAAAGAAATTCAAGAACAAACAAACAGACATCCACGTAACATGGATCATAAGAAATTGATATTCTACCTAAAGCAACATATAGATGCTGTACATCACATATCATCAAGGAAATATCAATAAAAACAATGAGATTTCACCTCATACTGGTTAGAAAGGCCATTATCTCCAAGTCAAGAAACAGCAAACGTTGGTGAGAAAGTGGCGAACAAGGAAACTTCATTGTTGGTGAAAATGGAAATCGATGCTGCCATTATGGAAAAGGGTATAGAGTTTCATCAGAAAAATTAAAAATAGAGCTACCATCTGAAGTAGTAATCCCACTTCTGGGTATCTAGCTGCAGTTATGTAAACGCTAACTCAAAAAGTCATATGCACCTCTATGTTCATTGCAATACTATTCATAATCGCCAAGATAAGGAAAGAGCCCAAGTGTCCAAGGATAGAAGATGGGATGAATAAGATGTGGTATAGATACACAATGCAATACAAGTCAGTCAAAAACAACGGTGACTTCTTGCCATCTGTGACAACATGGATGGACCTTGAGGGGATTATGCTAGGTAAATAGATTTTGTAATCCCGGAATGTACATAGCTTTGTAAACTAGTATTACCTCAGTAAGCAAAATAAAACAAAAACAAAAAGCCCACTCACTTCCACTGGTTATTTTATTCAGAAAAAACAAAAGGAGAATTAGTAACAAAAATCCTGGTCATTTGCAGTATCTATCAGCTTTCAATTTGGCTCTCCTGTTTAAATAAAGACAATTAGTAAAAGTTAATATATGTGAAACAGGCTCTGATAAAGTCAACTGCTACTGAATACAAACTCATGCTTAGAAACGGTATTTTTAATTTTGGTTATATTGCACAACACTCATCTTAAAATAGTAAGATTTTACTTCAATTACAATTTACAATTGTAAATTACAATATTATATTTCATATTAAATGGATTCTATTCTTAATGAAAATCTTTTCCTAACATTTAACAAATGTTGCCTAAAGGCTTTTTAATGCCTAAGAGCAAATTCAATTATCCCTAAATTTAAGCAGGACTAAAGTTCTATTTAATAGGTTGGCAACGTGGTATCTTTGTAAGTGATAAAAGTTACAGGATATATACCTGATTATTTTTCTTATCTAATTTTTTATTGCTTAAAACTAGATACAGCCTCAGCTGGAAAAACTCTTACATAATTTACTTTCTTCATGTAAGTAACTTGGTCAATGAGTTAACAGAAAATGCGTGGTAGAGCTTATCTTTATTAAGTGAACAAATAAAGATGTTAAGACTGCTTTTGCAACATGGGACTTGAATGAGTGGCAGCCTACCAAATTCTCTTTTAATCTGGTACAGCTAAACCTCTCTACATGTTATTTTATGCTGTAAATCCAGGATCCTACTTACCTAATGGGAATAGGAATATAACAACATTAGTTAGCAGGCCACAACAAGTATATTTCACACTTCTGAATCCAACTTGGTAGGTTTCAATTTTATTTAACTTTTTAATCTCATTATTAAGAGTCTATAGCATGCTAATAGGAAGATGCTAATTTTGAAATTAATCAACTACCTTCTAATCCAGTCATAAATATTATAAAAAGATGATGGTCTATTAATTTATGAAGTACATTCAGTGAGACCTAAAATTCTTGGAATAAATAAGTACACTAAATACTTAAGAACCTAGTTGTGATTTCTTTAGGTATGTTCTCTTAGCAATCTTTTCCAGACTTAAGATTTCCTTTTAGGCAGTATTACAAATTAGAAGTGCAGACAAACATTTAAAAACTACAGTGAATTAAAAAGAACACTGACTTTATTTATGCTATCTGAAAATTGGTAGAAATAAGGTAAAATATTCCTACCTGTCCAGAAGTGTTTCATGCAAAAATCCATCTTTCCGGGCCTTTTTAAGAACTTTACTGTCTTCTTTACTTATTTTAAGTTTGTGGTCTTGGAAGCTCTGAAATTTCTTTCTGCAAACAAAGTTATCATTCTTTAAAAATTTCAGATTTTTATTATATGTTTACTGATAAACTTAGATTTTTATGGTTTTTCAGTTATTAAAATAACCCATCTAATCTACTTAATAACCTATAGCTTTCAGGTACGAAGATTGCATTAAGTGCCCCACCAAGTGGGCAGTTGTTTTGAGTAACTCTACAAAACGCCACTTCTACTAGGGGATGTTGGCTGGAATCCCCTGTGTACTGGCTGGGCGAAGGAGTATTTGGTTGGCAGTATGGCTTGGCAAATCACAGCCAATTTATTAGTGAACAGGGAGACCCAGTTAACCCAACTGATTTGAACTTTGAAAGGGAGCAGGAAAATTAGGAAAACTGACGCCTTAAGAAAAGGAAAGCTTTAAGCTCAATGTTTTGTCCTAAAGTCTACATTATGCTGCCACATCTTGCCTTGTAGGCATTTTATTTAGGGTTCTGAGAAGCACTTCATGGCCCAGTCTGTAGGCCTAAAGGTAAAGCATACATACACATAATTGATTTCACACTGTTTAACGTTTCCTTTGTCTTCTTCAGGAAGGTCATCTTTTTTCTTGGTTTCTCTTTCAGCACACGATCTAATCTGGATATTGAAAATGAGAACTTAACAGGTTATACATTTATATTCCCCCTTTCCACATTATTATCACCTAAGAATAAGTGAATTCCATATGAAAGACAATTAACTTAGCAAACAGATTCAGAAAAAGACAGGTTCTAGATATAATTTGGTTATGTAATTTTTATTCATAACTGATATTACAATTTTCTGTAGAACCCTTGTGCCAGCAATACTAAAGAGAAAATTACTTGATATTTTACAAATCAGATCCACTAAACAATCAGGCAATAATTTAACTAATATGGTTTTGTCTTCAAAGCAAATAAAGTAGGATCAAATTATCCCTGGGAGATAGTGTTTCTTTTTATAACACTGTAAGTTTAAGATAGTAGCTATTTTACTTTGTCCAAACTTTTACAAAATACATTAAGTACAATTTGCTTTTAACCATGGGAATCTCCTCTTCTAAATCCTGACACCCTCATACATTTTGACAAATATTTGCCATCACATACCACAACTGTTGTGATACAGACACAACAATTAAGATAAAGTGAAGGGGGCAAGGAAGGGGGCAGAATCCAGATAAAATGTCCTTACAATCTGCAATCCAAAGCACCGACATCTCCAAAGTGATCTCTGTAGCTCAGAGTCCAATTCTTAGACAGTGCTAGTGAGGGGTATATGAGTTACAGGTCTGGTTCTCCATAGAAAAGCTGGGGAAAGCCAGACAAGGAGCTGTGATACAGCACAGCTGTATTCCTTCTGGTTGGAGGGAACTACTGTTCTGGCAGATAAGACCAGGATGTGGCTGACACAGACCAGCAGAGCCTGTGATGTAAAAAGCAAGGGGGGGAACAAGTGCTGGATCATCAATGCTCAGAGCTTCCAGGTACCTGACTAGCCAAAAAACAAACAAACAAACAAACAAAAAACCAGGGAGATTTGACAGGTACTTCATAACATTAAATCTAAGTAAATAAAAATTTAAAAAGGAACCCACTAACCTTTTTCTAATGACCTATTTCCTAAAAGTGTGGTATGGAATGCATGAGTAGTTATAGCGTTCCTTGGGCCTGAATACACACATCCTGTCCCAACCATATCTAGTCTAGCTCTTTTCACGTGAACTTCATGAAGTGACTGATCAAAGCTGGTGAGAATGTGGAGGGGCAAGGGCTGTTTCCTTGTCTGTAAAGTTAGGATAATATTAACTACCTGACTGGAACAATATGAAGATTAAAGAAGGGAAATCATGTGCTGTATTCACATGTCTGCAGCTACTTGCTTGAGTTTATTTATGTAACTGAAAATATGACTAACACTTTTCAAAATACAGTAAAAAATATCTAAGTTTTAGATTAAAACTGTTAGCGACTCTGGCAGTGAAAATGCCTTACAAGAAGTTATGGAATGTCTACTGAAATTTCTAATTCTTGTAATGTCTAGGATGGTATTTCTTTCTTCTTCAATTAACTGTACATAATAAGATAAAGGAAGAATAGTATTATCACATCCTTAAAAAGATTAGCAATATTTTTCAAGGTAAAATGAATACTTAGAGACTATAAAAATGATATATGAAAATAGGGAACATTCAGAACATATAATTAAGGGGGAAGCAAGGTAGAAGGAGCAGCCTGATGCAGGCTGGGGTTTGGGGTGGGGGTACTGGGGGGAAGCAGCAGAAAGAAATGAAAGATCAGTGACTATCCCAAAGAAAGTTGAAGGAGCAAGTTAAAAGTAAGGTACCCTTGTCTGGAACAAAAACCTGCAGTTTTAGATTTCTTAAGGGAGTGATTGCACAAAGAGCAAAAAATATTTTCATTCTGGGGATTAAAAAACAGTAAAAGCAAAATGAAGAATAAGCAACTTCCTGCTGTAGCTCCAGGTAAGACAGAGATCACTGGTGATCTAGCAGATGGTTAAAGGTCTAGAAACTGTACATGATTATAACTTTTATATAGTTTTTACAGTGATGAGTAATATGGAGGCTCAAGTATTAAGCAAGTTTTTAAAAACCTAATAACATTCTAATACATAATGGTGGGGGTGTAAGTATACCCTGTAGAGAAGGCAACGTGGCAACAGTTAACAAAATTACAGACACATATGACCCTTGAGCCTGTGATTTGACTTTTAGGAATTTATCTTGAGATAGGCTTGCATACCTACAAATGATGCATTGTTTAAAATTATGTGCTGCAATACTGTTTACAAGAGAAAAAAATTGGAAATAACGTACATTTCTCCATCTAAGGAACTAAGTTACAGTTCTTCCTTAAAATGAAATACAATATAGTTGTTAAAAAGAAAGCTTTCTACACACTCAAAGAGGAAAAATCTCTAAGATGCAATGTTAAGAAAAGAACCAAGGTCTAAAATAGTGTATATAGGAAGGTAACTTTAGAGCAAAAATATATAAATTTGCAAACATTCATATTTTCATAAAAAATTTTTTTATTAAAAAATTCTGGAAGGCTGAGGCATAATTTTTATGCTAATATTTAAAACATGTTTGAAAACTGAATACTTACCTATTTTCAAAAAGGTATGTTATCAATTTAGAAATTTAAAAAGCATGTGGAATTACTCAGAAAAACAATGAATGAAAGGATCTAACACAGCCAAGTGATTCTTAGATGTAGTAATTTCTCTACCACATGGTACAAGTACAAACCTCAGTTAGGAGACTTATAGTTCAAAATAATTTTGGCACCTAATGTAAAAAGCTATGAGAAATTTTTAAGGTAGAAGTGACTATCCAACATTTTTTTTTTACAGCGAGAATACACTGATTTACAACACTGCTTACCATTTAGGGGAACAGGTTCACCCCTCTTCAGATATGAGTGACCCCAACACTGAAGAGATGGAAGAACATCATACACAAGACATGTATTAGACTATGAAAACCATCATAGCTACCTTTATCATTTCCTCTTCTCCTGCTGTTTTATTTTTTGCTTCAATATCTCCTGCTTCATTGCATCTAATAAAGCAGCTATTGGAGGCCAGTAAAGCCATTTTCCCCTAAACAAAACAACAAGAAGTAGTGATGAGAATTTCTGCAAAAGAATTCTTAAGTCTTGAGACTAAATGGATACCTCTCAATCCCACCCTAAAAGTAATACAGAAAAATGAATTTGGAGAAAACCTGTAAAATAAAAAAAGAAAGAAAACAAAATCACCTGTAATTTCACTACTCAAAGGTAACCAGCACAATAAGTATTTCTAGTTTATCCTATTAGACTAAATTCTAGCTAGATGAAAGAAATTTTTTTCCTTTGGCTAAAAGATCTATTGAGAATAGATCAGAACTGATCTAGTTCAGTTTGAAGAACAGTTAAATTCAAAGATAATTAAACAAAAATAACACTCACATCTTGAAAGACTGGTTCCCACTGTTCTCTTGGTCCGATTGCATCTGAACGTCCAATGACAAGCCCATCTGAATTAATACCGAGGTACTTTCCATAACCAGATTTCAGAGCAATTCTTCACATTAATAAAACAGGTAAATGTTAAAAACTTAGAGAAAGAAAATTAAATATGGAACATAAACATATGTTTATATACATAATAGTTCAGACTGGTCATATTCCAAGTGTCAAAAACTGCATATAGCTAAGTGGTCACAATACTGGACGGTATAGTTGTATACACACATTTTAATATTAAATACATTATATAACATTAATAATTTTTATTATATAACACTGATCTATCAATAGTGCTGCTATATCTTGTCTATACATAAAACTGTCAACATATCCTTTGAAGAGTCTTGTAACATGGGAATTATTGGATCAGAGGGTATCTACTTTAAAGTTTCTATTACATACTATCCAATTGTTTTACATAAAAAATTATATCAACTTATACTGGTACCTTCAATTTAGAAGAGTATTTTTTTTTACATTTATTTTTCTTTTACAGTGTTCATTTTTGTATAATGTTTCATTTCTTCTTTTGATGTAACCCCCATTACAATTCTCACCATCCAATCACCTGTGAGCTATAAGAGGTGATAGTGTCCTCCTCCCTCCCCTGTTCTGACTCCTCTCCCTGCCATTTCCCTGCTGGACGTCTTGGACTTACAGTTTGCTGCTAATTTTTTTCAGACCCCTTGTTCAGTTTCCCTATGTTCCTCCTATAAGTGAAATGATTTGATACTTTCTTCTTTCTGACTTATTTCGCTGAAAATAATATACCACATCTTCTTGATCGAGTTACGCGTTTTTGGACACTTACTTGTTTCCATATCTTAGCTACTTTAAGTAGTGCTGCAATAAACATAGGAGTGCAGGCTTCCTTCGAATTAATGATTTTGTGTCCTCTGGATGTACTAGGAGAGTATCTTTTTTTTTTTTTAACCAGACTTTCTCATAAAAAAAAATTAGAGAATAAGAATGCTATAATTTGCATTTTAATTATTATTATGAGCAACACTTGTACTTCTTTTCCATTTTACATTTTTGGGGCCCATTTTTCTAATGGGATCTTATTTATTTATTTATTTTTTAGTGTTGAGTCCTGTACATACAGATGAAGAATAAAAGGCATTGTCTACTGAAGTCACTGCCAGTATTTTCCTCATTTGTCTATTTTGTTTCTCAATTTTGTTTTGTGGTTCTCAAATGTAAAGTGTGTGTTCTTCTTTTTTTATTAATGAAAAATCTTTCGCCATATTAGACACTCTAAAAAACATAGAAATCATTTGTTTGTGATTTCTGATTTTTAGTTTACCAGTTCCCTGTGATGCCGGAGCTGACTTTATTTTAGGTTAATGATTAAACTCATCATTACATTGTTGATGTGACTGATAATTAGCACAGTGAAATTCAATTTCTGTTTCTATTGCCCAAAGTACCATTCTATACTTTTGCATTATGAGAATAAAGTTGGTGAGCTTATAAACTGATTGGAAAAATAGTGAGCAAAACATCTCTTTGGTCATTATGATTATGTAACATTTTCTGCTAGTTTAAAAAGAACTTCTTTTCCTATTCTGTTTATTTCTTGATTCTTAGCCACTGTGTTTACATATCACAGTAATATCAGATCAGGTTTTGTATTATGTTTGCTTTCTTCACATGATTTTTCTAATCTATACCTTATTTGGTCTTGCTATGAATCATATGTATGCTTTTATCTAGAATTGTGAGTCTCTTTTAAGATCACAGTTACTGCAAATGTAATTTATCTAAATTAACTAGAAGATATATAATGTTATTTAATAAAATGTCATAAAATTCACTTCAAAAAAGACATTTTGATTTTTAAATCAAAATTACTCTGTGGGTTGTTAGGTAGATATTATCTTTTTTAATAAAATTAAATTAAAAAGTAAAGGGTTATTAATTATAGTGCAACTCAAACTCACCTGGAATCAGACAATTTGACAGCTGTAAACTGCTCTGGGGGACTAGGGCCTTCATCAACTACAGGAGATAAAACCATTTTGAGATAAATTTAAAATTTGCTGTAAATACACATGCAAAGATATTTCCTAGCTTTAAGATATAACTTTTTTCTTTTAAAATTAAATGTAATAATATTATAACACAATTGTATTATGATATAAACATATTAAGGTATACTTTATTCTTTTAACTTGTATTAGTTTTGAAAACTTAGCAGGAGAGATCAGCATAGCTAGTCATTATCCAGATATTTCCCTTGTATTTTAAAATATAATGTACAGACAAATAAGTACTAATGACACAAATCTAAATGCTTTAATTTATTCAAGGAATGGCCATTCAGCCCAAATAATTCCACTCTCCATCTTCCGATTTCTTTGTGCTGTAGTGATTCCTCTGATAGGCTGAGGGAAGGAGAAGACTTCAAATTATTAACTATATTCTAGTTTAGTTTTAGCAAAATGTCTGAGAAATGTAGGATTTCAAACATTTGATTGAACCAGATTTTCTTTTCATTTATTATTTAAATTATTCATGTTGTTTTTGATTTCCATAGATACTGTTCTGGAACTAGACAGTGTTTTCAAATACTGATACTGAAAAGGAGTTGCCAATACTTGGTAAATACTAAGGAAGGAAAAAAATGGAAGAGTCAAATATAATGGCTTTATTTCTTTGAAATATACTTGAGATGAGTTAAATTTCGCCTAAGTGAATGATTGTTGTGAAATATATAGTTTAAATGACATTTACCCTCCCACTGCGTCTACGAGATACAAACCTTCTTTATGTGGGGCTCCCAGTGTAAAAAGTCCATTGTCAAGTGCATGAATGTAGGTGCCTTTATCCATTTCAATTGCTATGGTTCCTGAAATTTCACCAAAGTTTGTAACTTTCCACCAGATTCCTAAAAAATAAAATTATTAATTTAGATTTTATACAATGTTCACGCTATTGTTATGACTTATTTTCAATTTTATACAAAGTTCATGCTATTGTTATGATTTCTTTTCAAAACTTTGTTTTGGTATGTGTATGTGGAGATTTAGGGTAACTAGCACCTAAATCAAGATTGGGTTCTTTATAAAACAGAAGTACGTATGAAGTATGATATATAGACAAATTTCTTCCTTTTCAGCCCCCAGCCATCTATGACTAATTTCCAGCTATGAAAACATGTTATTTATATATCCCTCCAGAAAGTCTTCCCAGAGTAGTATTTTAAAGTAGAAACAAAATCAGCAAAAACTACTGTCTGTGCATTAATATGTAGCTCTTCAGTAGAAATGTTAACTCTAGAGTCTAATTATTTAACTAGTCATTACAAGAGTATATATTTTCATGGGAAAAACTGGTCTCAAATCTTGCTGTATATTGTGGTTGAGCTAGAGCAGAAATATGTCAGCCATAAACAGGATAGTAAATGTTATCAAGGAATTTACATTAATTTTGTTAGGTTGATAAAATTCTATTGTTTACATTTAAAAGAGTAAAACTGAAGAAGAGACCCAATGCCGTATAAGAAATGTATTTTTATGTATTTATGGGTAAAATGACAGTAGTTGTGATTTACACTTTTCCGGAAAAGAAATGCATGATCATGTGTGTAATGAAAGACACTAGTTTACCTAAAGTCTTTCATTTAAAAATTGAGTTAATCATACCATATAAAAATTTTTCATCTAAACAAAAATTACCTTGAAAATGCTTCAAAGACGTAAAAGTAAAGCTAGCATTATAAAACTCTTAGAAGAAAACACAGAAAAAGTTTCATGACATTGGATTTATCATTGATTTCTTGGATGTAACACCATAAGACAAACAACAAAAACCTGACAAATTAGACTCATTAAAATGAAAAACTTTTGTGGATCAAATGATACTATCAATAGAGTCAAAATACAGCCCATCGAGAGGGACAAAATATTCATAAATCGGGCCCTCCCTGGTGGCGCGACGGGTTAAAGCACAGCACTGAGAAGCTGAAGCCACTTCCGCATGAGTTCGATCCCGCCTGCCTGGGAGGTGACCACATGGTGTGACCTGCCCGCTGCTCCCCTCAGCAGTGTACTTCGCAGATCTGCCTGTTCTGCTCCCTACTCTGTCTCTGGTGAAGCCTCTCACCACCCCTGAGCCTCTGGCCTGTACCCCAGTTCTGTATGCACAAATAAATAAATCTTTAAAAAAAAATTCATAAATCGCCTCTGACAAGGTTTTACTTTCAGAACATACAGAGAATGTTTAAAACTTAAATACAAAGAACCTAATTAAAAAAACGTGAACTCAGTTATTCCTTTTCTAAATCTCCTGCAAACTATTAGATATCCCTTCTGGGTAGTGTCACAGCACAGAACAAAGCCTGTCATATACTGTAATTTTTTATTTGCCCATTAAGAGGATATGATCTGTGAGGAGTGGAACCAGGGCTACTTTGCTTACTGATGTCTAACAGAAGGGAGTGAATGCATGTTTTCTAAATGCTGAATTGCAAATGGCCTAGTTTAAATGCCATGGCAGTTGACAAAATATTGTCACGGCGCCCATTCTTTCTGGTACTAAGGCTACAGCAAACATTAAAGATTAGGGAATGACTTCATTTTTATAAAAGCCCTTTCCTTAAGCTAATCATCTCCCAGGGCTGCCCACAGCCTCCTGCGGATGCCCACACACCCATTATCCTCAAAGAGGCAGAAGAAATGAGAGCTGAGTGTGTTTTACCTGATCTTCAGCTGACCCACTGTCTCTGTGTTAAAGTTCTCCTGAAATCTCTATCATAATATGTACCTGGCTCAACAGGAACATACATCTCAGTTCTGGAAATAGGTTCTAATCTAAGTACCCTTCAAGGAACTACAGCAGCAAGTAGGCACAGAACTAACTTGGTTGTAGTTCCTGAAAGTTTCACAAACTATGCAACTGTAAGTTCAGTTACTTCCCAACCTAGCAGAGTTCTCTGAAACTATTTTCTTTCAGAGCTTCTTGCCCTTTGCTATTATTGCTCCGAATTGATATTTCCCTTATGAAAGGCAGAGTCTCTTTCATCCTATTTACCAACTCACTCTGACTTTAGCTCATCCCTTCAAATCCTTGTATGGGGTCATCAATACAGCTTTAAGAAATTAGCATGCTATTTTCTTTTTTCAGCAACAGGTCATTAGTATTTACATGGTAATCTTAGGAAGTCAGGAATATGAAAGAAAGTGGGAGGACAAAGTAGAAGACAGAAGTGATGTCCTTTTCCAGTAAAGACATATTAACTGACCCTGGGCTTACCTTCCACCAAGAACAACTAGGAAACTGGATAGAATATGTGAGAAAACAGTTTTCAGGTATTGGAACACAGGCACAACAATTTTACGATCTTTGAGAAAAGGGAAACACACGAGATGAACCTCACATTCACTTCAACTTTTTTTCTAATGTCACTTTCTCATCTATAGTGCTGGGAGACAGAGCCCAAGAGCAAGGTGCTCTCACTCAGCTGAGATTGGAGTGCCAAAATTTACAGACTAAAGCACTGAGAAAAGGGAAATGCCCAGAGGTCGGCACCGTAGGGCTGTGTAGGTGCTGAGATTTCACAAGGCCAAGTACAGTGATGGCTGCTGCTGAAAGCTGAGTGAAGATCAGAGGTCCCCATGTGCTGGCAGACAGTGGAGATGATACTGAGTAGCTTGGGCATTCAGTGAGGCCCTATGAGGACCACGTCCCAGACTTCATGGCTACAGTTTAGGTCTAAGGGTAAGACCAAATAGCCCTAATACTTCAAAAATCAAGCCTGATGGGGCACAGTGTCTTCAAATAACCTCAGTTTCAAATTTGAAGCACACAGAGATACTAAGATTTGAAGTTGACAAAGATAATAAAACTGTTTAATGGGGGAAGGAAAGTTTTATTTAAGTGGCTATTAATAGGGGCATAAAAAAGAGCAATGAGTCTTCTGAAAGAAAATATACAAGACTATCTTTGTGATTCTGGGAAAAGCAAAGATTTCCCAGACTGGAGAAATAAGGTGGTAGTTATAATAGAAAACAAATTTACTTAGGTTTTTATAAAAATTAAAAACTTTTGCCTTTAAAAAAAACTCCATTAAACAAATGAAGCTTGAATAGCTTTCCCCAGGTGGGTAGGCCCTTCGGCACATGTACATCTGTGACAATATTTTTCAAGATCATAAGATTTATTATGTAACATGAACACTAAGGACTAAGAAGTTTAATATCTGGATATTTTTTGTTACTTCTGAAAACATATTTTTGATATACCAGGTTTCAAAATGAAATTGCTAAGTTTTACAAGAGAAATAAATTGCTTTTAAGTAGGTGTGGAAGGATAGCAGAACTACATGGAAAAGAATACACAAAATCATTATTTTTACTGTGGATGTATTTCCTCTTAGGACATACAAATCAGACTTCCACAATTGAAGTATGTACACATGCAAAAAAGTGTAATGTTTACTCAGCTAAATAACACTACCTATATCAGGCCTTTAAGTTTATATATTAAAATCCCTGAGCTACTAAGCATGTTAATGGTGCCTAATAAGTAAAAGTAGTGTTTCCTCTTTCTCCTTACTGGTTCTGAGAGGAAGAAAGGCTTCAGTGACATCTACTCCCCTAGAGAGTAAAAAGAACCTATAACTCTAAATAGTATTTAAGAACTTTGGGACAAATATGAGTAGTTCAGAATTCCTTCTATTTTCTTTTTATTCTTTACCTTCAAAAAAATGTTTTTAATAGAATCACAACAAATGTTAAATTTCTAAGAATAAAGCATTAAAAACTAACTTACCAACAACATCAAGTTGTGTTTCTTCATCCTCTTCTCTTTTTCTCTTTTTATCCTTGCTCTTTTTCTTCTTACTATAGTAGATAATTTTTATTAATTTATTTTTACTTCTTTATATCAATGTTCATTTTTGTACAGTATTTGATTTCTCTACCATGTGTAGTCCCCATAATTCTCCCACCATCATGTCACCTGTGACCATCACCATAGTCCCTTGTACTCTTTATAGGAAGTAATTTTATTTATTTTTTAAAAAGATTTATTTTCATTTATTTATGCGTACAAGAATTGGGGTGTGGGTAGTGAGAGGATTCACCAGAGACACAGTAGGGAGCAGAAACAGGTGGATCCACTGAAATTTACTGCTGAGAGGAACAGTGGGTGAAACAGGAGAGGTCAGCTGTACCATGTGGGTCAGCTCCTTGGCTGGGGATTGAACTCATGCCAGTGGCTGGTGATAGCGCCATAGTGCTGAGACTTTAACCCCTGAGCCACCAAGGAGGCCATGTAGGAGGTAATTTTATAGGTGAGTTTAGATATACTGATTTGCATGCTCAGTATCATATGATGGTATCAGAAGTCTTTTCAACTATGTGTTGATCTTTCAGTGATTTACAACAGTCTTCCAACTCTGAGAGGTTTTTCTAATCCTGCACATACAGTGTTAAGAGTAAGGAGGATGGACTCTGGAGGTAACCTCATTCCGTAGTTTGTGGTTTGTGATTTCTGTAGAAATTACTGAATTACTCTGAGTCACTTTCTCTACCTATAAAAAATTAGGTTAATAATTTTAACTCAACACTTAAGGTTACTATGAGAAGTAAGAGTTGCTATACATCTTCATACATAGTTGGTGAGAATGTAAAATGGTGCAGTCACTTTGATAGTTTGGGGTTTCCTCAAAAAGTTAAACAGAATTAGTAAACAACCTAGGAATATTATTCCTAAATATATACTCAGGAGAAACATAAACAAGTCCACAGAAAAGTTTGTGAAAGAGTGTAATCACTATTCATAATAACCAAAAAAGTGAAAAAAACCAAGCGGTTGTCAGCTGATGAATGGAAATACTATCTAAAATGTGTTAGTCACACCATGGAATATTAAAAAAAAAAAAAAAGCAAGCTAATATGCAAAGTGTTTAGAACAGTTCTTGGAACATAGAAAGTGTCTAACACAGTACATATTATGATTGATATGACATGTTATATATTATGTTAACATAGTATGTTATAATTTTAAGGAGACATGCTTGTTTACATTTTTCCATTATAAAGTAAACTTTCAGAAGCCCACTTCTCTCTCTTTCCTGTAAATTTAGACAGTAAGTATCAGATTTATTCAGAATAAATGCTTCACGATGCCAGAAACCGAGGCAGAATTCTCAAGCATAAAAAGCTCGAGTGTTCATTTACCTACAGTGCTGGACTCAGTTCCCGCTGCTGTTCAGACCTGGGGAGAAGCACCCAGAGACAGGGAAGGAGACAGCAAAGAGACTTAATAGCCCCGAAGCTGCAAGTTTGGAATCTCTGAGGTCCCAATCCCACCTGCCTTCACCAGTGACCTCGATTTGCTAACGCAGAAGGCACTGGGGAGCTTGGGGTGGGGGTGGGGTAGGGGTTTGAGGGGGACGTGAGCCTGACAGTGGACACCTGCAGCAGGGGTGTGGGCATGCGTGGGCATGCGTAAGTGCACACCTGAGCCTGAAGGGCAGGTATACAAGGACGGTCACTGAGAGCCAGAGGTCAACTGCGAGAGAGAGCGCGTGACTACAGAAGATTCAAGACCAGAAAGAAGCCAGAGAGAGCCAAGAGAATGCGTTCGAAGATTTCCAGAGGCCTAGAGGCTTGGGCCCTGCCTGCCCTGGGCCTGGCTGTCCCACAGCAGGCACCTTCTACCAGGTCGAGGGGCCAGACACAGAGATCTGGGAGCCTAAGTGGCGCTCTAGCAGCTTCCACTAGACTCACCGTGAGAAGGAGGGCAGAGGCTGATCAGAAAAGCGCGAAAGCGTGTGTCCGACGAACTTGGGGACTTACCTCTTGGCCTTGGTTCCCTTGAGCACGAGTTTGGTGGACTTCACATAGGAATACTCGGCCATGGTTCCGGTGACACTGAGGAGTTAAAGAGGTGGGAGCCGGCTCAGGACAAAATGCCTCGGCTAGAGCTGAGACAGGCGGGAAAGCACAAAAAAGAAGCCGAAACACAAACTCTGAAAACTGTAACAACTGAGGAAGTGGATGCGGTTCACTCCTATCAGTGTTGTTTTCACGCCAATACCGAATCCCAATAAAGAACCCACTTCCTGTTTACTACCTTAAGCTACGGCAAGCGCAGCGGGCCCAAATACATCAACTTTCATTTGGTTCCGCTTGCGGAACTGCTGAAAGGGAGTTAAGGTTTCTCTTTTTGCGGAAGCCTTGAGTACTGCCCTCTGGTGGACGCCGCGGTGGTAACAGCCGTGATTGGCATCTCGAGCTGACTGAGGGTGCCTTCCTGCTAGATCTTAGGAGTAGGCGACAATTTGATTGACAAGAGAATGAAGTGACCAGGTCAACTCTCCCAGTGCTGCAGACAGGGGACCGAGCGTGATCGAGGGTCAGGAACGCGTTTGCGGGTAGGGTGGAGGTGGGTGGGTAGGACCTGGCGCTGTCCCTGGCCTTGGACATCTTCACCAGCCATTTCAATTCCACAGACACTGTAATGTTATCTCTAGGGAGACTTGAGTATTGTGCACAAAACAATTAAGGAATAAAAGGTAGCTCAGCATCACAGATGTCACGAATTCTGTAGGAATTTGGGGGAAGATGGGAGTGGGAGGTTGGCAATGAACACTATGGCAGTCAGAAAAGTCTTCCTTTTTAGGGTGGGTGGTGAGAGAATTTTACAACCTGGGACACCTGAATGTTTCTCCTATCTGTTCCAGGCTCTTCAACAGCTTCTTAAGACACCTTGCTGATTCCACTTTCTCCCCTTCCATGCCATTTTCTATAGTGTTGACTGAGTGATCTTTCCACAGAAAAAGCTGATCATTATTACCTCTCTTAAAATCTAGTAAAGGCAGGTATTTGATTTCTAGCATCACTTAATAAACTTTTGATGACTTGGCCATTTGCCCCACCACTTGATACCTTCCACTTTGATTCTAATTATAATGTTAAGGGGAAGGATGTCCTAAAGGAACTCTGCAGAGTTAACACTTTAAGACAAACTCAGGTGTCATTTCCTCCAAAAATCCATCTTTGAATAACCTGCATTTCCTCAAATATCCTATTTTTCCCATATGACAACTTAATGGTGCACTTCTTAAGATCAGGAATCATGGCTTGCTCATCCTTGTTTCACCTCTATCCAACCCAGTGCCTGCTTGGGTGAAGATCCTGCACACCTGTCAGAGTACTAAGATTCCAAAGCCTGCAGGTAAACAGTGGGACAATGAAAAGCATAAGACAGAGTGTGGCTTGACTGGATAAAAGAAATTGTGGTAGAAAAACAGAAGGAGGAAAATTGGGTGGTTAAGGAAATAACATATCATGGCTATCAGAGGGGCAAGTCAAGACCCAGAAGCAAGTGAGGCTGCTTCTTCACATACCTCTGGTCTACTTTCCTCCTGCAAGTCTTTCCAGTCTTCCTTTCCAAGTTTTTTCTTGCTTCTTGCTGCTTGTCTCCACCCTTCCTCAGATGGACCAGGGAAACTGGAGCCTCCCCTTTCTAGGGAGATTGTACTTTTACAATTTGATTCTGTATAAAAATATCAACAAACTTATGCATAGATCTAATAAAATTAAAATTACACATGTAACACTTTTTAGGGTTTCTTACCTAATGGAAACTTTGGATTAATCTTCCATTACAGGTCCCAAGTTATTCTTGGTGAGGTAGAATTTTATATACGTGTGTATATGTGTATATGTACATATACTTATATACTTATTTGAACCTAAGGGATTATTAATAGATCTCAGTGGTTAATAAACTTCAGCATGCCTAAAAATTCATTTGAAGCACTTAAAACAATGCAAATTTATTTCTACCCTCTCCCCTTCCCTGGCTGACTGAGGTTTATATTCTATCCCCATCAGTCTCCTGGCACCCATGACCTCCTAACTGCCAAGTCCTTATCTCATGTTATTTATATATTGAACAAGCATGTCTTGTAAAATAATCCAGTTGCCAACTCCTTGTTTCTTTTAGATTTTATTCTGTAGCAGAAGTTTATCCTGGCTTTTGGTGAAAAATATGAACTCATTTCACTTTTTCTCATGCTTGAGTATCTTCTCTTCATGTTATATGCCTGCATATCATTCCACTATGCTACATCCCATATGCTTCCTGCTTTGGTAGGTGGGTACCTGGTATTAAAGAAAATGATTTTTCAAACACTGAAAATATTCACTCCCAGACAAAAATTAAATAACCAAGTGTTCAAAGAAATGTAAAGCTCATTAATTACTGAGAAAATTCTTAAGACATTATCACTGGATTAAAGGGTGCACTTATATGCAAATAGGTGTGAGGGAATAAGCAAAATGATCCTGTATCTCTCAGGATTATTTTAGGCATGCAAATAATCAAGCAAGCATCAGACAGATTATTAAGAGAAAAATAGATATAGCAGTTTAATAATAACACTTACTAAAAATAGAAAAAGTAGACCCAAAATGGAGTTGTTCCCACTGACCCTTGACCCAGTTCTAATAACTAATCTCATTGCAGTTTCAAAAGTAGTGTCTTAAATCAGTCAATCTGTGGTTCCCTAGTCAGCACCAAAGATAATATAAATTATAAAATCCCTTCACCTTCCTCTGCTGAAAGGTGACTTTACCTTCAGAGATACATACCTATAACTTACACAAATAATCTTTTCCTTTGCTAATAATCTTTCCTTGTCCCACTTGGTAGCTATAAATACCCTGATTTTATGTAATTCCTTCCCATTTCTAGATGGAATGCCACCCTATAGATGAATCAGTTAATAAAGAAAATTAGATCTCTAAATTTGTGATTCTGTTTTTAAATATCTACATCTTTTGTGTACATGGGAGACACCCAGCATGACTGAGTAACTTGCTTAAGTGGCTTCTGACATCCTAAATGGTTTAGCTAGGTCAAAGGAAGTTGGGGGACGAAAAGGGAATTTAGGGAGTTAATCTGGAGAGGCAGTTTAGACAAAATGTATGCAGATTTAGTTCTATCTTCTCCTTGGAAAAGAGACAAAGAATTAAGTATTCCTGGGAGAGGCCCTCACAGAGAAAAGTTTACATATAAATATCAAAAATTACCTCCATCCTTTCTTCAAAGCTCCTCCCATGACATAAAACTCTTCCTAAAAGGACATAATTTGGGGTGGCATATTTTAACATACTTAAACAGGTATGCTATTTATGATTAGATGCAAAGTTATATCTGAGTCAGTCATAAATTCAATTCCACTTAACAAAATTCATTTACATTTCTATGGACAAGAATAATTTACATTACTACAAGATTTCTGAGCTGAAAAATAGCTCAGACTATTAAAGGCAACTCAGAGAGTCAAATAATCCAGAAAAACATACTAGAAGGACACAGCTCTATAAATTTTTTAGTTCATTTTAGAGTTGTCAGAACTTCCCCATGGCAATAGAAAAGCAGGAGTTAATGGCGTTCTTCTCTTTCTCTCATATTTTTTCTCCTTCCCTTCTTACCTCTCTCCTTCCCACTTATCCTTCTTTTTTTGGCAAAGTGACTTCAGTTTCCTCTGGCTAGACTGATGGGGAATCCTTTTTTTGGTAGGTATTCTGATACTCATTCCTGCGGTCCTTTCTCATCTGGTTCCTCTGAACTAGGCAACTGTATCTCTATTCTAGGCTATTGCTCATGGCAGTATCTGTAGTTCTAAGAATTTCTAATTTTTGCCATTTCCTGTCCATCATGGTTCAACTGTGACCCCATTACTGATCTAATTGAGTCATATTACATGTGCTCAGAATGTCAAACTCTGAGCCATGAAATTGTGTCCCCGAAGGAAGTCCTTGAACACAAATGGTGCCGCCACAGAAGGAAGGCAGTTAGTACTAAACCATCTCCTTGTGTGGTGAGCAAAAGGTTATATTGGAGAGAAAGAAATTCAAGGACACGAGGGACAGAGAGGATTTCTTTCATTTTAGGTCCCAGAACATAGGCACATACTAGGGGCAGTGACAGGATTATCGATCCCTTTCTGGAATAGTTGTTTCTTGTGAGTTATTGGCTTAAAAGGGCCCAGGATATTTGTCACTGATGTTATCATCCTCCTTGTGAAGGAAGAAAAAGTCTCATTAAGCATTAAGCTACTCAGTGCTATGCCCTGAGGAAAGTGGTACTGTGGGTTAAACTAAACTGCTAGGTTAAAGGCTTAGACAGGGTCATGTAACTTGACTCAGACTGGACCACACCCACAATGAGACAATTTATTTTAATTTCAGCTAAGAATGTGAGGTAAATTGGCAATATTAACAATGCAGATAAGTAACTTTTTGTGAAACTTTTTTTTAAAAGACGTTATTTATTTATGCATACAGAAATGAGGTAGGTACAGGTCAAAGGTACAGGGTGCGAGAGGATTCACCAGAAACAAATTGGGGAGCAGAACAGGCAAATTGACAAAGTATACTGCTGAGGGGAGCATCAGGCCAGATAGGAGTGGTCTGTTGTGCCAGGTGAATCATCTCCCCTGCTAGAATCGAACTGGCAGAGAAGCAGCCCACTGCTTGGCCTAGCTTCGCAGTGCAGTGCTCGACCCACTGTGCCACCAGGGAGGGCTCCCTGAAACTTGTTCTTAAGGATGAAACAAAATGCACTTATGGAAATAGTTTCCAATCAGTTGTTTCTGTAAATTTACTAGTAGTCATAGTGTATCAAGTTAATTTACCATAAAATATATCCTTGATAGAATAGTTTTATATTTTCAGGATACTTATTTCTCCTTAAACCTTTTTTTCCCCTAAGTATCTCTGCTCCTTCTCCCCTAAATTGTCTGGTTTCATTGTCATAAAAGCTATTTATTGGGTGTGTCTTTTAACACAACAAAGCATTGTGTAGTGAAAGTAAAATAAAAATTCCTGTTGTTATTTCTGGAATTACTACAGCTTTGAAAATTGGCTGCTCTACCTCAAACTAACTGGGAACAATCCCAAGCAGTCTGCTTCTAGAGACTTCTAGAGTCCCCAGAGGTATATGGTGATTCCTTTTGTATCTTTTAATGGTTCCAAGAAATACGCCTTTCTCTCGTGACCACCAGGCAGAGGACTTCAACGCAGGATTTGTGTGTGAACATAAAGC